CTTGGGCCGTCTTGGCAGTGGTGTATTCTCACCATTCACCGGTCGCTACCGTCTTGGCAGTGGTGTATTCTCACCATTCACCGGTCGCTACGTGTTGCGTGCAGAAACGCGTGGCAGTTCATATGGATTTATGTTAAAACGTGCTTTCCCACTGGTGTAGAAATCCAGGACATACTCCGGGGCCGGGGGTTGCCCCAAACCGACCTATCGACCTTTGGCAAAAGGACAATGAGTGTAGCATGATTTTGACCCAGGATTCAGGAACCCATTTGAGAGGAGAGCCTTGATCCTTTTGCGATTGTTCTTTCGTTGTTTTTTTTTGAGCGGGGTAATACCCCAAAAGCACATCCGCAAGGTTCATGTTCCTGTGGGATTCCTGTGGGATTCCTTATGGTTGTCTCTCTGTGTGTGTGTGTGTGTATGTCTTTGAGTCGTTGTCTTTGAATCTGTTTTTGCTGTTGGTTTAGGCAATCTTTGGGATCCCCTGCTGGATGGACGCGATCCTGGCCAGTTGGGATGGATGAAGCCACCTACTGGTGTGAAGTGGGATTTGCACATCCACAGTTCCCTGACAAACAAACAGATATATATGTGTGTCTCACCTCCAAGATTGTGGTTTTCCTTTTGGTCCCCCTTCAAACACCATCCAAAAAGGGTACCAACTCCAAAAAGAAGACACCCTCATCCTGCCCATCCCCCTTGTCCTCCCCTGTCCGGCTGGTCCGTTTTCTTTTTCTTTCCGAGGAAGGGCGTGATGGAGCTGAAGTGCGACGAGGGGAAGTGGAAGGTGGCGAGACACTCTGCGGACAACCCCTTGGAAAAGAAGATGCTGCCCGCGGATATGAACCTCTGGGCGCCGCAGCTAAGGGTTTTGCTCGGTCGGTTGTGCGATTGGGTGGGTGGGTGGGTGGGTGGGTTGGTTGGCTGGCTGGCTGGGTGGTTGGTTGGAAGGTTCTGACTGTTGATCATCCATCAAAGTGGTTGTCCGATGTTGCCCGCATTTTGAGGGACCCGTTCTCAAAGTTACGTGTGGCACCAGTGGGAAACTGACTTGAAACCACAATGAAGACTTTGAGGATGTCACTTTCATGGGCCCAGCTGACCCGAGCAATAGGTCAGTACTACAGTACGTCATGATCCCCAATTTCAGAAGGGAGGTGGAACCGAAGGGAAAAGAATGGCATCTTGAGCTACCATCAGAACATGGGGGATTGGACCTCCACTCGAAGTTTCGAGGGGCCTCGTGGCCCCAAGAGGGACGTGTTGAGAGAGGGCGCCCCTCTCTCTGATTTTCAAGGCAAAGAGTCAAGAGGTGTTTTTTTGTTTTTTGAAGGGTTTGTTTGGTCCATGGGCATGTGACAACACGAGGTGGGCACAAAGCCAGCAATCTCCTTGGAAATTCAATCACCGGAAGACAAATCCTCTGACTCGCAGCACATGTTCATCTGAGTACTCAGGAGGAGGAGTATCCTGAGTGCTCTTGGGTGTACGCCAACAACTGCACGGAGGAGGGCGCTAAGGATGCCACTTGGAGCACGGAGCACGGAGCACGCTTTGCGCCTCATTTTGCGGCTGGAGCTGAGGTCATCGCCGGTGGGAGGGATGATTTCAGCGGGGCCTCCCAGACCTGCGCAGGCGAAGTTTTGGAGGTGTTCCTCTTTTTTTAATGGGCTGCGGTGGGGGGGGGGCTGCGGTGGGCGGGTTTTTAGGTTGTTCGGGGGGGGGAGGGGAGCGGGTTTGGGGGGGGGGCTAGGTTGGAAAGGGCTCATCTTTGTATGGTTGGACCTCCCCCATGAGTTTCCTTGGCTTCCCGGTAGAAGCAAAAGGGGGTACCCTTTAAACCAGACAGACCCTCTTGATTGAAGATTACTTCGAAGGTGTTACTTGTTCGACCCAGGGCTGCAATTCGTGACTGTTGCCAATTCGTGATTTGTTTGATAGTGCAGTTTCCAAGTACGAAAGTACACAGCAGCTACTTGCCCTAAGTGTGTCTCCAAATTGTGGTACCCGTGCTCTCCAAGTGGGTCCACCCGATGAATCCGTGCGCAGTGCGCGGTCTTGGGTCTTCGGTCTTCAGGTGCTCCCATGGTGAACATGCACTCCTCTGATGGGCAGGTGCATTATAGGCCGGAGGCTTTTGCTTCGCCGTGGAAGGACAGGTTTGTCTCAAAAGTCAGCCGAAAGCGGTTGAGGTCCCTTTGGTTTCCCTTTGAGACTAACCAAAAGGGGTGTTCCCAAAAAGGATCCAGCCATGTGTGGACCGAAAAGTGTTTGAGCCACATTTGGCTTACTTTGAAAGGGGTGGTGGTATCATGCTTGGGAGCAGTGATGGATCACCGATTCTCTTGCGATTCGCGAGGTGCAAGCAATTGGGCGACAAGCCCATGCGCCTGGTGGTGCGAGGCCACAGGAGGCTCCTGAAGGCAGGGGACGAGGCAGGGCTTCGGCGTTTTATTGATCGGTGGGGCTGGACTTCAACGAAAAGTTGATCAAACTGTAAGTGTGCATGGGTCAAAGTTTTATACAGCCTGGGGCACTGCAGGTTGTCCTTGTTTCCATTTATCAGGGTTCCATCTTGGGTACCTATGGTTTTGACCCACACCCAAGTCATAAGCATGTCTTCAATCGGCAGATCCCATATCCCTTCAGCTTCTTTTCCATTCGTCCAACTGTCTTGGCCATGGCACGTAGGATGCACTTGAACAAGTGCTCACGTACCACAAAAGCGGCTTGCCGTGCCTCGTGGGACATTGGGACGTGGGACCTTTGCGCGCGAAGTGGTAACTTCTTGCCGTGAAGCGAGAATATCGAGTGTCGGATCATCCATTTTCTTGCTTTTTTTTTTTTGGGGGGGGGGCGGAAGATATTCTTTTGGCCGCGAACCCCTCTTCTCCTCGGTTGCTCTTTGCCCATGTTGACAGCGTCTGTTCCTGTTTGACTTGCTGGTGCTTATATAGCAATGAATGAGGGAATGACCCCTAAAAACTATCCAACTGGTGGTTTCCTTTAAGGAGACAGGTGGGTTCATTCCATTCCCTGCCCATCGCACCGATCGCAAGTTGACACAGGCCACAACTGACACTCTCTCGCTACTCAGGTGGTGGTGAAAGGGACGGACGTGGCAGTGGTTGCGGGCTACAACGACGAGACCAACCAGTACACGGTGTCCACCCGAGCGGTTTGAGGGGATGCGCAAAGGTTGCCATTGGGGAATGTGAATGAAAGGTAGTTGCATCCCATCAATGGTTGGTTTCAGGCTAGTGTCCTTTCAACCTGAGCCAGACAGGGCCTGTGCTTCTGACAGATATCCATTTGACAGCAAGTTTGGTCTACCCGCTTATCCAAGCGCAACGACCCCGGCCCAGGTGGGATTGGTCAGGCAACGGAGGCAGGCCTTCAAAGTACATGTCGCAGATGTCGAAGCTTGGAGCGAGTGAAGAATTGGGAACAGCATAAGGGCGGAGGGGCTATGGTTTCCGTGCTTTGTTTCATTGGACCGGGTCACAGTAAGCATTCAGACCTTTCCGCTTTCCTTGGGGTCTCAGATAAGCAGATAGGGCACAATCCAACTCCATGTGCTGCTTTGGTCACCTGAGGAGTGGCTTCTGAGAGAGACGTCTTTCACGCGGCGCTGCGAGCAAGGGAGATATGTTCCCGCCAATATTCAAGTGCGCTGCTAGGAGTGCACGAGTTGCATTCTGCAACAGCATGCGAAGGGGCATGGTGATGGCTGTGTTTGGGTTGTAGTGCAGGTTGTTGCCGCGACAGTGGTGGTCATGTTTGCTGCTGTCCTTGTGTGGTTGTTATAATTGTCATCAGTCTTGTTCTTGTTCTTGTTCTTATTCTAGTTCTGGTTTCTAGTTCTGGTTCTTGTTGTTGGTTGGGTGGGTGGGTGGGTGGGTGGGTGGGTGGGTGGGTGGGTGGGTGGGTGGGTGGGTGGGTGGGTGGGTGGGTGTGGGTGTGGGTGTGGGTGTGTGGGTGTGGGTGGGTGGGTGGGTGGGTGTGGGTGGGTGGGTGGGTGGGTGGGTGGGTGGGTGGGTGGGTGGTGGGTGGGTGGGTGGGTGGGTGGGTGGGTGGGTGGGTGGGTGGGTGGGTGGGTGGGTGGGTGGCGGTGGGGGCGGTGGGGGCGGTGGGGGCGGTGGGGGCGGTGGGGGCGGTGGGGGCGGTGGGGGCGGTGGGGGCGGTGGGGGCGGTGGGGGCGGTGGGGGCGGTGGGGGGGTTTGGTGGGTGGGTTTGGTGGGTGGGTTTGGTGGGTGGGTTTGGTGGGTGGGTTTGGTGGGTTGGGTGGTGGTGGTGGCGGTGGTGGTGGTGGTGGGGGCGGCGGCGGCGGCGGCGGAGGTGGTGGTGGTGCTGGTGGTGGTGGTGGCGGGGGTGGTGGTGGTGGCGGGGGTGGTGGTGGTGGTGGTGGTGGTGGCGGTGGTGGTGGTGGTGGGGGCGGCGGCGGCGGCGGCGGCGGCGGCGGCGGTGGTGGTGGTGGTGGTGGTCCGTCGTTGTTGCTGTTGTTGTTTGCTCTCGTGTTTGCCCCTGTTGATTCGTACGGTGCGCGGTTTGTGCTTGTTGTTTAAGGCGCTATCAAGGGAACACATGTCTGTCCTTCCATCATTGGCTCTTTTGACCGGACGTAGATGTCCAGTCTGATCCTCACCCTAAACCAACCCTGAACCAACCAGAAAACCAGCCCCACTCATCCAAGGCTGCTTGATGGTGATGCCAGAGGAGGAGGACGAGTTGAGCCCCTCAGACGATGCCTCTGCCGCTGGCATTCAAAGACGGAGGAAGGGTATGGTCAGGGTCTCCGTATTTTGACACACCCACTTACATGGGAAGTTGTAGGCTCGAGCGGTCCATGTTATTATTGACCCAGTTCATTCATCACACTCCCTGGTTTTGGGGGCGCGCCACATTGACGAGGGATCCAGATCGCTTTTGAGACCACCCCATTCATCCGTCTGGTGCTTTAAACCAAATCTTGGGGTCGACTGGAACTATCATCACCCGATTCGGTAGTCGCGAGGTTAGACGGTTAGACAGGATCATCCAGCAGAGCATACATGGAGGGTTCCAGCCGCTTAAAAGGATTCCTTGCCTAGTTTTGTGTGCTTTTGTATTACATACGGGGTCCTGGCTGGAGTACGTGCTTGGGCGCGCTGGTTGCATGCTAACTCCACTGCCTCAGCTCGGAAGCTCCAAGGCGAAGGGCGACTACGCCCACAAGGCCTGCTGGAGCCGGCAAGGTATTCGCCGGGTTGCAGCTCTTGTGGGTGGCGAGATCACCGTGTTCCGCGATGGACCGTGGTGGGCCGTTTTTTTTTCTTCTTTTTTTTCTCGGCACCGGGACGAAGCGAGGAGTTTGGGTTCAAAGCTTGCTTGCAGGTTCTCAGGGAATGAGGGAATGAGAAATGGAATGACCTACAAATACCATGCCTTTGTGGTTTCCTTATTCGAGAATCCCAAAATGGTTCATTCCCAACACCCGTACCTATCGCACCAAGGAGATGAATCGATGGCCATGGAAGCTGAACGACATGTGTGGTGCAGTGGGCTATTCGTGCCATTCCAACAGCTTCACCCGGTGTTTTCCCGGTCAACTTGGGGATGGGGAGCTTTTCCCAGAGGAAGACAAACGAACCGGATTCCTTCCCTGGTACAAGGCACTTACCCATAGAGCTGCTCTTCCCTTCTAAGCCTTCCATTCTGTGCTCCTGTCCCGTTCCTGGAGGCCCATCCTGCGTTTATCAAAAGACGACTGCCCACTTCCACCAATGGGTGATTTCCTGGAGGTTTGCATCCAAAAGAGTCATTGCAAGAGCCATATCACGTGTTTCAAAGACTTCCGTTCATGTTCCACCGATTCTTGGAACCACATCACATGTGTCAAAGATGGAGTCCGCAGCGCTCGGTTTCATGTTGTTTCCTCAAACGCATGCCGAAAGGGTACAGCCCATTTTGACGCAGGGCTGGGGCAAACCTTGCTTAAACAATCAGACAATGGCCCAGGCAAAGCAAGAAGCCAACAGGTTGTTGGAACATGTTGGAACAGCTTTGGTTGCGAATCTCTGAATCTGCGTTTTTCCATCTAGAACAATGTCAAATCTAGAACACTGAGCCTAGAATTCTAGAAGTTCGGGGTATTATAGAATACCAAGAACAATAAGATCTTCTAAGTATTCGACTTCTTCCCAACCGGAAGGGGTTCAATTTGATTTTCCCCGCTGCACACTCTAGGAACTCGTATTCTATGATATTAAACCAAAGAAAGGGTTGACGGCGACCGAAGAAAACAACAAAAGCTCCTCCCCCATGCAGCTCCCCTGCGGCTCGGCGACTTGGCGCTCGCTCGGCGCTCGGCTCTCGGCCAGGCGAGCTTGCCGCGGTCGTCTTTGCTGCAGGAGGGCGCGCAGGAGGGCGCGAACGCGGCGAAGCTAAAAGGTTCGGTCGAACTCGGGATGTGTGAGTGGTGCTCGTTTTCTTTCTTTTTTTGCATCTGGGACATGGGGGACTCTCTCTCTCTCTCTCTTTCTCTCTCTCTCTCTCTCTTTCCTTCTCTAAAGCTTTAGATTCAACACAAAAAGAAGCGGGAATCTCTAAGTTTCATGTCCAATAGAGTAACAGCACATTTTGACTGTGGCTCAACTGAAACAGAAACACCCGGGTGCAGATATCAGATATCCGCCCTGGTTGTTTCTTTGCATTGGTTTGTGCAGACTCCTAGAACACCGTATATTTCATCATGTTTGCTTTGCTTGGCTTATTCACTTTTCTCACACGCATGTGCCCATTCGGAAAGACATATCTGCAGGTGTGCTGGAGCAAGTAAGCCTCTTTATTTTGAATAAGTGGGAGGTATCCGAAGTGCTGCTCAGTGCGCCAGTTGCGGTGAAATGAGCTTAGGGATTCCAGATCCATATCCAAAAGGGCAGCAACCATGCTGTCCCAAAGTGTTAGGTGAATCAATTGCTTTGGGAGGACGGGAACATAGGCAGTAACTACCAGGTGGAGTCTCGCAAGGTCCATTCAATTGACTGCTCCCCAATTTTGCAAGCACCAGCCGGAGCTTTTGGCTTTCAGCCCAGAGAGGCTCTGTATTAAAAGGCAAATCCCACCTCAAAAAAAAGGAAGACACACTTTTTTTCATGGCAGGGAGCGGGGCAAGTCTCATCATGTCTCATCCTTTTTTTTTCTTTCGAGCCCAGCTCCTCCGTTTCCTTTCTTCGACCTCGGGGGGTCGAGCGGGACCCGGCACCGAGGCCAGCGCCCAGGCCGCCCAGGCCGCCCAGGCCGCCCAGGCCGCGCACGCAGAGGTCCAGGCGAAGGCGAAGACCGGTGGGTCGATTCGCAACTCGATGCGCTTCTGGACGTGGACAGCTTCCTGAACATAGAGGTGTCCTTTTTGGTGGTTTTGGTGGGAAAATAGAGGGCGATCCCTGGTTTACCTGGTCGAATCATCTACCAGGGCCATCTATTTGCCCCAAAAGGACACCTATGTTCCTGAAGCTTATCACTAAGGAGAAGTCGCAACACGGTCTACAGTTGACGGGAGTTCGGAATGCTCGGAATGACCTGTTTGTTGTGAGCTTCGGTGGGAGAGGTCCCTTTCTCCCAAGAGGAAATGGTTTGCGCCCGCCCGCCCCCCCCCCCAAAGCGGCGGCCGGTTGGCGCCAGGACCTCCAGGATAGCTTCGAGCCGATGGCCCTCCAGCCGTGGCCGCTGGTGCTGTCCACGGATGTAGGCAGGGAGAAACCGTGGCCTTGGGACCTTGGGGGATTGGGATTTTCCGGGAAACGCGGGCCTCTTTGACTGCTATTGGGCAACGGATCTTTTTATTGTTTTACCTTTTGCTTGAAGTCAAGTTGGGTTTGCCACCTAATTAAGCCCCCCCAAAAGTTGAAAACTTTCTGCACGGGGGACGTTACCGCAATCAAGTGGGCCGGTGGTCTCGGCACGTTTGCTCGTCAAAAGCGCGTCCGCCAGATGGCGTCTTCCGCGTGGATAGTTGCTGGACCAGCCCTCTGAACTGCAGCACCGGGATGCCCGCCGAGGCACGGGGCGTGCCGCGCCGCCGGGAACGGATCTTTGAAGGGAGCGCGGGAAGGCAGCGGACCTTTTTTGAAGGACGGAGTCCAAGGTGTGCAGGGGGTTTGCCCTTACGGGCAGAATCCATCGGATGTTGTTTGTTTTTTTCTCCGCCGACGTTTTCCTTTGAGGCAACCTCTTTGAGCGGGTGTCACGCCCCCGTCGGCAGGACACCGCGCGATCCCTGCAGAAGGAGTCCGTGGTGCCGGGGCCCCGGGGTTTCGGAGCCGGGTGGATGAATCCAACTGCCCCGGGTTTTTTTGTTACATTTTTGTGGGTGTCCTCAGGCAAGTTTCGCTGAACATAGATGGGATGTGCACTTTCTTTCTTTCTTTCTTTCTTTCTTTCTTTCTTTCTTTCTTTTTTTTGGCTCGGTTTCCAACAACGCTCTTGCCAGCAATCGCGGAAGCGAGCAGAGGGGTGCTGGAGTACTAAACCATCTTCACAAGGCCGGCACAATTCCACGATTGGAAAGAGGACCACCAACACCACTGCTTCCAGGTACCAAGTGATGGATGTTTCAGGGGGCATCTTTTGTGACGCGTTTTGTGGACAACCTCTGCGATGACTTACAATTGTAAGTACTGGGAACCAGTGGAGCATAAAGGCAAGAATGGTGGCCACATCGCTCGGTGAACAACCATGTGGAGCAAACGGTGACCTCCAAACCAGGTGTTTGGGGCTGCCCCAGTTTCAATCTGTGAGTTTTCCCTTTCTCGCGGGGCAGGGACGCCTTGAGTATCAACCTTTTCGCCTCTGGTGGTTTTTATTCAAGCCTTGACACCAGCCGCAAAGGTCTCTTTGCTCTAATGCCCGTTTGATGAGAGCTGTCACCGTGTTTTTGGTGGCTACCGTGGTTTTGTAGGGCCCTTAGGGCCCCCCTTTTCGGGCAGCGTTTTTTCTTCCAGTGACGCCAAGAGGCACTTGCGGCACCCGTGGGGCACTTGTGAGGCTGGGCGCTCCGGAGTCTGAAGAGCCCGGGTGGTCCTGGAACGCTACGGTGGCAGGTGGGAGCGGGGTTGCATTCGAGGCTTGTCGCGGGGTTTGGGGAGGGTGTCATAGGTGTCCTTTTTGGTTGGTTTGCTTTAACAAAAATTGAGGGCTCTGGTTAAGATGGGGTGTATTCCATTTAGCAGGGAAACCCATCTATTTTTTAAAAGGCCACACCTATGGAGGGTGCGCTTTACTTTCTTCCAGTTGCTTAAGACGATTTGGTTTTCTCTTTTTCCCGGTTGGTTGTTAGAGGGGAACTATCACCACTGTACTTGTTTTTTTCAGGGGACCTAAGCAAACAGAGGTTGTGTTTTTTCCCTCTGCTGGATTTTAGAAGGAATCTATCACCATTGGACACATTCTTAGATCTTTCCATTGGGACTTGAGCAAATGAAGGTTTGTTCTAGTTCGGGGGAGATGGTGTGTGTGAACACAGGGAACTCCAACCGCTTAGTTTCATCTTCGGGGCCTTAGTTTCGACGCATGGTCATCTGGCAGCTCGCAAGATGTGATCCCGGGTTGCAGACTCGAAGTCTTTTGTTGAAAGACATACTGCCGCCCTTGTCATGCATATCGTAAAGAGACAAATCCCGTGTGCCTGTATAGAACGACAGCTTAACGCTGCAGCCTCCGGCACTTCGGTCCAAGTCCGACCCAAACCAGGTTTTTAGGCATGGGCTTGCAGGTCACCAGCGAATATCACCTCGGGAGTCCCGAGGTGAGTTTTCATCCCTTCGATTTGTCGTCTTGCCTCCTAGGGGCACATCGCAGGAATCAGAGACGCCCATGTTGTACTGAGAACATCCTGTGCCATTTGAGGGTGGTTTCTCTGTATAGCCTTCTCATCCATGCCCCAAGTGGAGGATTTGGCCCATCCACAACAGCCCCGCTTTTTGCGGGCAAAAGAAACAAGAAAAGAACCGCAGGCTGCGGGGCCTTGGCTGTGATCGTGGTGGTGATGCTCATGGGCTGGCGCGGCGCTAAAGGGGGAGGGGGTTTGTGCTTGTTTCCGGGCGCCCTTTTCAGGTTGGTTTAGGAGGGAGACCAACAGCAACGCCTCTATTTGTAGAGTCCTCCTATTTTGGCACATGCCCAACTGGGGGCGAAGTACTTGCTGGTTCCTGGGAGGGAAGAATGGGAATGATCCCACTGGCAGGAACACGCAAGACTACACAAAAGGTGCGCAACCGAAACCCTGTCCTTCCTCTTGAGCATTTGACCCTAAAACCCCAAAGCCCCCAAACCCCCAAACAAATCCAGACCCTAAAACCCGCAGCTGAAGGAATTCCCCTTTGCAGCCCTCGAAATCCAGCCGCTTCTAAGAGCTCGCCCAGGTCCAGCCTGCAGGACGACAAGACGAAGTGAGGATTGCGGCGGCCTCAAACCCTCCCGCAGGGACCAAACTGGGGACCACGCAGTGCCCTGACGCCAGGTCAGCTTGAACAACCTCCAGAGTTGAGCGCCAGTGCATGCAGTACATTGGCTTAACAGAGGGGCCCGAATCTTCCTGCCTCCTGCCTGCCCTGTTTGGCTGGCGCCATGGATGCTTGTTGACCTGGCCTGTCTCACTACATCGGGTCAGGCTCGTATTACGTGTTTTCGAGATGTGTCACATGCGGGCAAAAGAGAATGGCGGCACCTGCGCGCTGAAACACCTGGCTGTGGTTTGAAGGTGGAGTCTCTTCCGGACTTAGGAGACAGCACGAAAAATGCCACCTATTTGGAAGGACCACTAGGTTTGCCACAACGTCACCGCCTGATACGCATATGCTGCTTCAAGCAGCTGGGACGAGCAGCGGTCTACATTTAGCGTCATTTACCGTAGTACATAGGCTACTCTCACCACTCACCGCACCATGAGGACCTCGCCAAATTCCGATGCCAGTTGGATGCGTAACATTGACGGCTCGGACTGCTCGCAGGCGCTCGCTCGCCGAGCTCTGCCGCGCTCAGCGAGCCTTTGCCCGCGGGAAAAAGGTGTAGCTTGTCCAAAGATTGGAAGATCTCCTTGGTTGGTGTGTATTAGATGGAACCATCGCGGAGGAGCTTAGACACTCAGCCGGCACGCATGCAGTGATAGTCTCCTGTTTTAACGGACAGGTCAGACCTTTCTTGATCTGACGGTCAACAGGTGCCTCAACTGGCCCAACTGGCAATACAGAAGTAGCATCAGCTCAATTGAATTTACAACTCGAATAGTTGAAAGCTCAACCGAAAGCTACAGCATTTGTTCAGAAGCTACAAGCGCACATTGTTCCTGCGGCGACCTCCCTACCAAAGCCAGCCGTCTGTACTGGCGCCATGACGGATTTGGACAGGCTTGGGCCCAAAATACGCTTGGAGCCTGAAAGAGGTCTTCTGAGCGTTCGGGTTCCCGACCGGGCTGGCCTTGGGGGGGGGGGGCGGTTCGGGGTCGGGCTTCTTTCAATTTTGTCTTTGATTTTTGTTTGTCTCTTTTTTTGTGTGTTTCTTTCTTGTCTGTTCGTTTTTTTGTTTCTTTCCTGTCTCTTCGTTGTTTGTTTCTTTCTTTGCTCCTTTCTTTGTTTCTTTCTTTTATTCTTTCTTTCTTTTATTCTTTCTTTCTTTCTTTATTTATTTCTTTCTTTCTTTCTTTCTTTATTTCTTTCTTTCTTTCTTTCTTTCTTTCTCTCTTTCTTTCTTTCTTTCTTTCTTTCTTTCTTTCTTTCTTTCTTTCTTTCTTTCTTTCTTTGTTTCTTCTTTTTCTTATTTCTTATTTCTTCTTGCTTCTTTCTCTTTTTCTCTCTTGTTCTCTCTTTCTTTCTTTCTTTCTTTCTTTCTTTCTTTGTTTCTTCTTTTTCTTATTTCTTATTTCTTCTTGCTTCTTTCTCTTTTTCTCTCTTGTTCTCTCTTTTTCTCTCTTTTTCTCTCTTTCTCTCTTTCTTTCTTTCTCTCTTTCTCTTTTTCTCGCTTTCTCTGTGTCTTTCTCTCTCTCTCTCTGTCTCTCTGTCTCTCTGTCTCTCTGTCTCTCTGTCTCTCTGTCTCTCTGTCTCTCTGTCTCTCTGTCTCTCTGTCTCTCTCTCTCTCTCTCTGTCTCTGTTTCTTTCTTTCTTTCTTTCTTTCTTTCTGTCTTTCTTTCTTTCTTTCTTTCTTTCTTTCTTTCTTTCTCTCTTTCTCTCTTTCTCTTTTTCTCTCTTTCCTCTCTCTGTGTTTGTTTGTTTGTTTTGTTTCTCTTTCTACGTCTCTTTCTCTGTCTATCTAGCCATTTACCCATCTACGTGTTTTCTTTCTTTTTTCTTTTTTAAATATCTACCTATCTATTCATTGTTTATCTACCATGCAAAAACCAACCAATCAATTACTCCAACACGCAGTCCACCTATCCGTCTATCGACCTGCCTTTTTATCAACCGACCAACTATTCACTCAATTTGTTTATCTTCTCACCCACATATCCATTTATCTCTTATCTATTTCTCTGCCTATCTATCTACCTACCTACCCACCCACCCACCTACTATCTATCCATCTACCTAGTTATCTACTATCTCTCTATCTGTTTATTTATCTACTTATCTATCTTTCTATTTGTTTATCTATCTATCTATCTTTCTTTCTATCAAAATTTCTATCTATCTATCTATCTATCTATCTATCTATGTATCTATCTATCTATCTAATCTATCTATCTATCTATCTGTCTGTCTGTCTGTCTATCTATCTATCTATCTATCTATCTATCTATCTATCTATCTATCTATCTATCTATCTATCTATATATCTATCTAATCTATCTATCTATCTAATCTATCTAATCTATCTATCTATCTATCTATCTATCTATCTATCTATCTATCTATCTATCTATCTATCTAATTATCTAATCTATCTATCTATCTATCTATCTATCTATCTATCTATCTATCTATCTATCTATCTATCTATCTATCTATCTATCTATCTATCTATCTATCTATCTATCTATCTATCTATCTATCTATCTATCTATCTATCTATCTATCTATCTATCTATCTATCTATCTATCTATCTATCTATCTATCTATCTATCTATCTATCTATCTATCTACTATCTCTCTATCTGTTTATGTATCTAGTTATCTATATGTCTATCTATTTATCTATCTATCTATTTATTTGTCTGTCTGTGTCTGTCTGTCTGTCTATCTTTCTATCTATCTATCTATCTATCTATCTATCTATCTATCCGTATCAATCTATCTGTCTATCTCTCAATCACTCTATCTCATCTATCTACCTATCTATGTAACTATCTGTCTATGACATCTAACTATCTGTCTACAATCACCTATCCATCTGTTTGTCTACCTTCCGAAAGTGTATCGCCTGCCACGAAGTCTGCACGTAACCTTGCGAAAGTGCTGCGCTTGCCACGAAGTGCGGACCTGACCTCGCGAAAGGGCTGCGCCTGTGGCGTTCTTTCAAGTGTGGTTTGGCAATTGTTTTTGCGGTTCGGAGCTACCCTGCCAGTCTTTTGACATATTCAAAGTGCAAACATGTTTGTTTCACGCCAGCATCAGACAACGCAACACCCGAGTTGGAAATCGCATGGCATGGACTAGGCGCTCTTTTGATGTGGGTGGGGCTTCCTTCGACTTTCTGGTCTCATGCACCTCCCTCCCTCCCTCCCTCCCTCCCTCCCTCCCTCCCTCACCCTTCCAGGCGGTGTTTGCGAGGCAGACCAGCGGTGTTTGCGACATTTTGAGCGTGCCTTCGGCGGCCTGGGTTGTTGAAAGTCATCCATGGTAGGCATTTGGGCAGTCTCGGCTCCCAAACTTGATCATGGGCTTGCAAGGGGAAAAGAACCCGAACTTGTTGCTGCAGTTTTCAGCGTGGTTTTCTTCCTTCCTTGCTTTTTTTTTGGCGCGGGTCTTGACACGAAGCCACCAACAGCCGTTTTCACGTTTCCATTTGGATGGTGCTTGATGTCGGGGACGCCTCACTGGCGCATTTTGACAAATGCACCCCGTTGATTAGGGCGGAGTTCCTTTTGCAGGAGGATCCTTCGCCAGCTGTCGGCCAATGCGTGGCCAATGCGACTTGAAAAAGAACTTTCAAGTATGAAGCCGAGGGTGTCAACCTACATTCAAGCCACATCCTTGCCTCGAAGCAGCAAACAAGATCATCCATCCAATGACACGTTAGCGCTCCAGTCGGAAGTTGCAATGATAGTCTCGCTCATGATCATGATGATGATGATGATGATGATGATGATGATGATGATGATGATGATGATGATGATCGTTAATGTGGAGCAGGTTGACAAAGACCTAGAACCACAGCGTCCCGCATCCGCTTCCTGGCAAAATGCTTCAATGGCTCGCCATCGCGCCATGCGAGGCGCTGGCAGCCCGCCACATGTGTCGGCCGGTCAGGCCCGCCATCGCGCCATGCGAGGCGCTGCGGCTCGAATTTGCAAGGAAGCAAGCACAAACCTATATGCTCATGTCTGCAACTACAACCAAAAAAAAGGTGTCTCCCCCATCTGATGGCTTGCCATCGCGCCATGCGAGGCGCCGGCCGCATGAGTTGGCATTCCAAGTGATGGCCAGCTGCTGCTGGCCTGGCCGCTTCCACAAGCACAAGCGGCTTTGCGTGTTGCGTGACCAAACGAATTCAGGAAACTCCTGCACTAGCAGCCTGTTTGAGTATGCCATGCTTAGATGGTTCCTCAAGGCTCTCCATTTAACTTTCCTACAAACAACAAATAAACCCCCCTGTGCTCCATTTACCAAAGTGCTATGCCAGGCTTCGCCGGTTTCACGGAAAAGTAATCTGCTCAATTTGCTGCTGTGCAACAAACGCCCCATTTGCCAACGGACAGGTCTGATAGTCTCACGCACTGCAACGGGCAGGTCGGTCAACGGGACGTTGGAAAGAGCCCTTTGCCGCTGCAAGCAGAAGGGGCAAAAGCAACTGGGGGCTACATGTTTACAGAAGAGGTTGGGCCATTCGCGACAGCCCGACTTTCGCCTTGGGCAGACTCGCGGAGTGCTTGCCCTTCCCCCTCCCACACAACTATGGCTCCTTGCAAGCCATTGAAGTCATTGCGGAGCCCAATGACACTCTTGGGGGGCGTTGGGGGCGGGGGGGGTGGGGGCAATCGAAGCCAAGAAGCTCATCCACTTTGTCCACCCCCACCCCACCATTTGGAGACGAGCCTTGCAGTTTGAGCCAGGGATTTGTCATCTCATATGCCGATGTCGCTATGCGGGGTTCCACCTGTACCCCTCTCCGCGCTGTTCAGGGATCCTTCTTGTCCGAAGAGGGGGAACACCGATGGGTGCACTGCCGCGCCGTTTCTTGATCCGCGGACGGCTCAATAGGTGCCTCAACTGGCCCAAATTGCAATTCAGAAGTAGCATTTAGCTCAGTAGCTCTTTCTTTGCACAACTCGCTGCTTGGCGGCACAGTTTGACTGCGGAATCTGAATCGGGATGTTGGAAGGCTCTAGTCTTGCCCCTGATTGTTGGGTAGCTTGTTGGGGCTGTCTCGTGCACGAGCATGCTGAGGTTTCAAGATTGCAAGATTGCAGCAAGCATGGTTTTCTGCTTATGCACTTTTTCTCGAGTTGCAGTCTGACACAGAGGCAATTCCCAATCTTGCATTAGAGTTTGAACTCAGCACAGCAGTTTCCAAAACCAGATGCCATCTTGTCCTTCAACGGGACACCTGCAAGAGTTGATGAATCATTGGTTTTCTAGGCATACGGATGTGAGAACAACGCATGGACCCTTCAAATGCGGCGGTTTCATGTTTGCTCCTTCAAGACAAAGGAAAGCAAGAGATGTCCTGAGTTTGTCGCTTCACGGGGCGGTTCAACCAATTCCTCAAGGTTGTCATCTGTCCCCAACCACTTTCCCTCATATAGTCTTCTTTGCTGTCACGGACAAATAATAGAGACAGTAATCATGGTGGTTTGGGGGGTAGTTTCTTCTCTTCCCTTCGCTTAATTCGAGCCGACTCGCAAGGGGAAATGGAAGGTCATGGCCTTGAATGTTCCCAGTCACTAGTCAATGGTCAGACGCGCGGCCTCACTCCCTGAATTGGACCTTACGCTTTTGGGACAACCATTTTAATGGCAAGCGAACAGTTGAGAGATTTCTCTAAACAAATTCAGGAAGTGAGGAGTTAATAATAGTCGTTAATAGTCATAATGAATCACTACCAAACTCTCTCTCTCTCTCTTGATTTGGCAGTGGCTCAAAATTCAAGAGGAGGGGCAAACCGCGGGTTGTGGTCCATGTTTCCACTTCCCAAGGCAACCCAGTTTGGACTTCCGTTTCTTTTTTGAATTCGCCACGGCCATTTCTATTCGCTCCCCCCCCTTAAAGTCTCATGGCTCCTTAAAAAACAAATGCCGCCGCCCAGGTGCCAAAGATGTTTTTCGGCGGCTTCCCAGGAGGCCTTCCGCCCTTCCCGCCTTCCGCTCGAGCCGAGCGCCGGCCGTTCAAAGCGCCGTCCTGCGGCGGCTTCTTGGGCCGTGCGGTGGCTAGGAATCTCTGGGTGGATTTTCTTGGACATGTTGAGGCAGGTGTCTTAGGTGTTGGACATCACTGCATCACCAAAAGGCCGTGCTTCTTGCGAGCTCGAGCCTGCTGTTTGCCAACGCAGAAAGAAGGGACCAACATGTTTTTGGACATGCCATGTCAGGTGGGCGTGAAAACTAGGGAGGAGCAGGGCTTGGGCAGTCCAAACCACGTTGCTTCACCGCTACTTGCGGCAGCAAATAGAAACACCGCCGGAGGCGACTTTCCCGGCATGGGCGGAAAAGGTGGAGGCGCGGTGGTTGGCGGTGCGCCGAAGGGGGGGCTCTCCCTTCTAGGGCGGGGCCCCTGTTCTGGATGGGTTTTAAAAAGGGGAACCAAAAGGAAACCGCCTACCTGGAGGGGTGCCCAATTTTGAGAAACACCCAAATGCAACCAGTATGAGGTTCGGTCAACATTTCCAGTTGCCTATGATTCATTTGGAAGGGACATAGGGGCGGGCTCTGAATTTCCCCCCAAAAGACGTGGGATGCCATGTGCCGTTGACGTTGGGGAAACAAGTATTCTTTGTTGGTGGCTCATGCAGGGTTTCCCAACTTGAAATATGAAGGGTCGTATTTTAGGCCTGCTGGGCTTTGATTAGACTGCAACGATGGATGCAAGGGAGGGAGAGGTTTCGTTTCGCCCAGAGATGGCATTGCACGTTTGGCGCCGGAGGTCGATCCAAAAATGTCGACAACACCAAGTTCTACAAGTTGCTGGAGGTCGATAAGCAGCTTGGTATATCCCAAAGACCAGTCAAGGGGTCCCAGCCCATGGGCCTGCACAAAAGAGATGCCAGGGAAGTTCTAGCTGCTGTTCGGGATTCGGGATTTCCTATGTCTGAGGCAAGGGCCGACAACCAAAAGTGAGCCGACTCTCCTTCTTGAAAAGGTTCAGTCTCGCTGATCGTGAATTGGGTCTGTCTTTTTCGGAGGGTACCTCTTTCTTGGGGGTTTTAATAGCCAACCGAAAGGACAACCTACCATTTTGGACCTCCCCGAAAAGAATACACCCATTTCCCAAATCGGTTTGGATTTCCAAGCGAAGCAATTTTCAGCGAGAGAGACGATCAGCTCACGATGAGGTCCGCCGGCGAGAGCGAGGTCAAGAAGGCGGGCAATCTGCAAGCGAAAGGTTCTAAGAACCCTTCTAAGCAATCTTGCAAGACGCTTCCAAGAATCTTGGCCTGTCTCAAGATTCGGTCCTGCTCCCTCTCCTGCTGGAAGTGGACAGAACACATGGACATGCGCTTGTATCCTGAAGGGGGAGCAGAGCTTTCCTTGGAATTGCAGGCATCCCTCTTTTGCACGAACAGGCCCTTGATCCAATGCGCAGCGCCAGGCCTACAGGAGGCTGGCAGTGAAGCATCACCCCGACAAGGCGCCGATCTCGCCATGGCAAAACCGTCCAACATGGGTCCCACATTTTCAGATGCCTCCAGGCTCGACATTTTTGCGTGCGCAAGCTACAACATTGCAACCTGATCCCCCCCCGTCCCCCCAATTTGGGCCCTTACTCTTTTCACCTCTCGTGGATGGCTGCAAGGGCCTTGAAGGTTTTGCCGTTTGGGTCATGTGTGAATCCAAGGTTTTACCGTGGATGCTTGGACGATCACGACTGGGAATCTGCAAAAAGGTCGTCCAATGACACGAAAAGGGCGTCTGAGCTTGAACCTGGTACTTGGAAGCTTCATTTGCTCGGGAAGCCTCGCCCCGCTTTTGAGAACCATGGCAAGTGACCCTAACGCCTGACCGATTCTCGAAAGCCTCAATCCGGCAGGGCGGAGACCAGGAGAAGTTCAAGGAGATCACGCGAGCATACGAGGCTCGAGCGATCCGTGGGATGAAAAGCCGGTGTACCCCCCCCCAGGTGGGAGATTTGTGCCAGAAGACAAACACACAAAATGGTCAGAAAAGAGGGAATCATACCCCGGTTTTTGGCTAATGTATATTCTGCCAGACTGGGTTGATAGGTTAGGGCACCAGGGTAAATGACAGCCCTTCTCACTTGTGGGATCCTCCCCCAATCTCCCCCAACAAACGCCCCCTTTGGTTTGTACCAAAAGGATCCTAGCGGCCATGGTTGCAGGTTGCAAATGGACAAGGCTCAAAAACGAAGTTATGTTTGGAGGGGTATTTTTATTTTTATTTTTTTCGCTTTTCGCTTTTCGCTTTTGGCTTTTTGGCTTCTTGGCTTTTTGGCTGGTTTCTTGGCTTTTCGGCTTGGCTTCTTGGCTTTTCAGCTTCTTGTTGATTTGGCTTTTCGCATCCTCTGCATTCCCAGTTCCTCTTCAGCAGGTGGCATGTTGGCTTTTGCGGCTTTTCGCTAGTTTATGCGGCTTTTGGCGGCTTTGACTTTTCGCATCCTCTGCTTTCCCAGTTCCTCTCCAAGCGTTTTGGCTTTTGCACCCTTTCATTGGTTTTTGGATTTGGCTTGCCGCATCATCAGCATCACCAGTTTTCTCCCTATTTGAATCACCACTTCTTCGAACATCATGGGGGGGCTCCCCCCTAAGAATCAACACTTCTTCAAACATCATGGTGGGGCCTGCCGCCTCCCCCACAACCCCCCCGCTACTTTTTAGATTTCTTGCAAAGACTTAATTGACTATTTGAATCATCACTTTCTCGAGCGTCCAATTTCGCGAGAATACGCCGTAAAATACGACATTTTAGGTAATGTATGAAATCCATGTATGTCTGTATGTATGCACTTCTTCGAACATCATAGGGGGAGCCACCCTTGCCAACCCTCCCGGTGCCTTTTAAATTCTATCGCACCCGTTCTTGAATCATTGCACCCCTACTTGAATCATCACTTCTTCGAACATCATGGGGGGGCTGCCGCCCCCCCCCCCCCCAACCCCCCCGCTACGTTTTAGATTTTCTACAGAGATTTAATTGCACCCCTATTTGAATCATCACTTCTTCAAACATCATGGTGGGGCCTGCCGCCTCCCCCCCAACCCCCCCGCTACTTTTTAGATTTCTTGCAGAGATTTAATTGCACCCCTATTTGCATCATCACTTTCCAATTTCGCGAGAAAATGCTGTAAAATACAACATTTTAGGTAATGTATGAAATCCATGTATGTCTGTATGTATGCACTTCTTCGAACATCATAGGGGGAGCCACCCTTGCCAACCCTCCCGGTGCCTTTTAAATTCTATCGCACCCGTTCTTGAATCATTGCACCCCTACTTGAATCATCACTTCTTCGAACATCATGGGGGGGCTGCCGCCCCCCCCCCCCCCCCCCCTAACCCCCCCGCTACGTTTTAGATTTTCTACAGAGATTTAATTGCACCCCTATTTGAATCTTCACTTCTTCGAACATCGTGGAGGGGCCTGCCGCACCCCCGCTACTTTTTAGACTTTTTGCAGAGCTATTCGAATCATCACTTCTGCGAACATCATGGGGGGGGCTGCCCCGGCTATTTTTTTTTTTTTTAGGGATTGAAATGCCCTCCTATTTCAATCATCAGTTTTCGACCCCCGTCAACCAGCCAGCCAGCTACTTGTTTGGTTATGTTACCCACCATTTGTTGGTGATGCTAGGGATGTTGGTCGGACATGCGGGGGATGTTGAAAACGATGCTGGGGAGGTTGGCGGGCTAGTGCATAATGAGTCAATTTCGCGAGAAAATGATGTAAATAACATTTTACTGGCCCGGACGCCAAAAAAAACATTCCGAGAAGAAACACAACAAACAAAATAAATCCGCACCCATTATGTATGTACTGGCATGCCGTTCCAACACCTGATTTTGCCGATTTTCCCAGGGCTGCTAGCCACAGGTGCTGAGTGATGCAGACAAGAGGGCCAAGTACGACAAGTTTGGTCGGGAGCTCGAGCTGCCAGCAAAAAAAATGATGCACTGCTTTCAATTGTTTATGACTATTTTTCATGTTCTCCTGTTGGTTTTAAAGGGAATCTATCACTACTGGACATATGTTTTCTCCAGGGAACTTAACCAAATGGAACACAGGGACTCCAGTTTGCCGCCGTTCACCCACCATGACCTTGCTGGTGCTCAATAGGAATGAGGGAATGAACCCAAACACATCTTACAGGACACCACCAGTTGGATGGAGTTTCTTGGGGTCATTCCATTCCTCAATCCCCGCATCTCTCTCACCAAGAGGCCATCCATCCGGAGTCGAGGTGAGGAGGGCCTGGACAACGACGGGCCCGGAGACGCCTCCGACATCTTCGAGGCCTTCTTCGGAGGAGGCGGGGGTTTCGAACTCAGTAGTCGCGCTGGTGGGCTCGGTAACCCGGTACATGGTACCCTTTTCAGCTGGGGAGCCAGATGTTGGGGCACCTGCTCAAATCGGAAGGGTCCCGCTGTTGCATACTGCCACCCTTGTGGTGTGTTTTGGTTTGCGAAATGGATAGAACCCCGTGGTTGGTACCCTTTTTCAACAATCGGGAAAGTGGACGAGGGCCCTTTCACGAGGATAGTAGTCTTCCAAACCCCTCCTGTCCACTTCCGTGATTGTTGGAGTTAGGGCCAGAAGCGAAACTCTAGAATGGGCGCCTATGTTTGGGTTGGGTTGGTGTTGGCAATTGCAAAAGGGGCTTGGCAAGTTCTTTGGCAAGCACGATCCAGGTGCTGTTCGTATCTGAGGATCCTTTCCAACCAACCCCCCCAACCTCCTTTCCCGCCCCCTTGTGTTGCCTTTTTGGTCCCAAGCCCCGGCGTTGGACCCATCCCGTGAGGCGGGGGCCGACGTGGGGGCGGTGGCCGGAGGCGCCAGAAGACCAAGGCGCGGATTTGGAAAGAAAAATTGGGCCCGGGGGTTTAGGGGGGTGACCTGGAGGTTTGAGGTCTCCCTGTGGTCATGGGTGTCCTTTTTGGTGGTTTTGGTGGGAACAATAGAGGGCGATCCCTGGTTTACCTGGTCGAATCATCTACCAGGGCCATCTATTTGCCCCAAAAGGACACCTATGCCTGTGGTTTCGTTGTGGCTTCATTCCAAGCATTCCAAGCATTGACTCGGGTCCCAAGATTCAACCGCAACCTCTATGTGGTGGGTCAAGGGAAGAAACGCCACCCATGATCTTGACCAGCCATTTGAAGACCAGCCGGAAACGGCCCCCCCCGCAACAAGGAGCGTGGCAGTTTGGAACTCTGGTGTTCAGGAATTGTTTTCCAGGCTTTCAGACCATTGATAGGTTTCGGGGGTGAACAGAAACGCTCCCATCCGGCTCACGTCAGACCGTTTTGAGCGAGGATCATCTTGGCTCATGGCCCATCCCAACTCAAAAGGAACCAAGGAGACGTGGCGGGAGAGGCAGTGCTCAGACATGTTTGTTTAAGTCTTACACGTCACCCCCACTCTCCAGAAGCACGAGGGCACGAGCAAATTTTGAATGGGGTCAGTTCTGTGGCGAGAGGCCCGTTTTGATGGGTCAAGCTGAGATTCGGCTCCTAGCCTTTGGCGACAAACCCATGAACTTCAGTGTGGGCTTGTCCTTAAATGAGGGCACGCCCCCAAGAATGTTTAGGTTCCTTTCAGACTGAGAAGGATCCGCCCCCCCCCCCAAAAACAAACAAACAAACAAACAAAGAAGACAATAATACTAAGCATAAGACAATAACATATTAATATATATATATACATATGTATATATATATATATAAAGATCACTAAAAGCAGCAATAGTCGCGTGTTCAAGCCACATCCGCGGGCCAGCCTCAGCGCCAGGATGTGGTGCAGAATCTCAAGGTCACTCTCGAGCAGCACCTGGGCGCAAAAGGCGTATCATGGGCGGATCAGGCCTAAATGGCCCACTCCGTGTTGCTCTCTGGATGGTTTCAGAAGGGAGACTGAATCTTGAGACATCGCACTGTGGATGGACGAAATCCTGCACCACTTTGAAGTCATGGGAAACCATTGTTTGTTCGTATTTACCGGGGAATCATCATCCCAGGGTCTTTGTTGGGTAGTGCGGGAATTTGTCCATCCACAGTATTAATCATATCCCATGGCGCATGAAACTGGAATGTAGCCCTTGAGGGCGGATGGACCAGCTTTGATAGAGGCTTTGGCACGGGCGCCCAGGATGTACGGCGGATTCACCAAGAAGATGGCCATCACTCGACAGGCAAAGCGCCGAATCGACGGATGAGATCGAGCCGTGGGCATACGGGATGTTTGGTGCCGAGATGGGGGGAAAAACCAAAGCACCATTCTGCAAGCACGATATGCGGCATGTGCCCGGAAAACAGGAACATCTTAAAGGAAAGCGCAAGGGGACTAACCGTCATAGAAACCTGCTGGAAGCACTTCTACAGGAAGTTGTGCCGAAAAATTGCGAAGCACCCAGCAAGAAGGTTTGATCAGCTGACTTTCCTGTAGCTGGTTTGATAGAAACCTTTCTTTTGGGGTCGCTAAGTTTGAGGCAAACCCAGCCCAAGCGCACCTCGGTAGGTCATCGACAAGAAGAAGGGCGTCCAGGAGTGCCGCGAGTGCGATGGCCGCGGCGTCAAGGTGGAGGTGGTCCGAATGGGGCCCCCTGGCCGCGTATTGGCCGTTCTGCAAGGACAGGACTCAATGTTCGCAGAGTTAAAGGCCTCCTTGTGTCTTCTTAGCCAGCCAAGATCTGTCTTCCTCATCTTTGAACGGTTGCAGAGGTAAACCAGAAGGAAGCCCAATTCAGGTTCAAAAAATGGTCTTTCTCAAATAATGGTTTGAGAGAGACCCATTTAAGTTTACGTGTTGAGTGATATTTCTGTGTTGCCTCAAGCTCAGGCCAATGATCCAGCAGATGCCTCTTGCTTGCATTGGCAAGTTGAGCTTGTGTATACGCCTGCCGTCCACCAGTCATGGTTTGGTGAACTTTCGACCGGAAGACGAAGAGGCCCTTTTCTGATGCCGGGGGGGTTCACGGTTCACAAAGTAGGGGACAAGCTGTTTGTGGCTGGTTGCCTCTTGGTATTTTCGGACAACCATCTCTTTACAAGGCAATTCCCCCAGCTTTGGGGAACACCCTCCTTGACGCCCACTGGTGCTGTCTTTACCTCCCTCGGCACCCATCGCCCAAGCCATCGAGGCAGTCGCAGTGCCACTCCTGCGGCGGTCAGGGCAAGAGCTTCCAAACCAAGCAGGAGAGGGAGGCCAGCGGCGTTGGGCGGTCGGTGCTCCCCATGGATTCCCTGAAGCACCTGAGTCCTTTACCTTTCCGCGGCGAAGGGATATCCTGCTTTCTGCGCTTTGTCGGGGGCTTTTGCGGGAAAGCTTTGCCAAAGCCTTCGATTCACAGAATCGTGCGATGGGCACAGGGCACAGGGCAGCCTCAGTGCATCACCTGATATTGCACCAAGCCTTTGTTGCCAGGTCTTGGAGGTGCACATTCAGAAGGGCTCTCCTGATGGGCACAAGGCCCGGCGCCCCAAAATCTTGCCAAACCCTTTCCTCGGGTTTGCTGATCGATGTCCACCGGAAGGTTTGTTGCAAAACGGCGTAGTTTGACAGGTGTCAGACTGTAGATCGGTGTTTCTTTTCCACTGCATTCAGTAATCGCCTGTTGGGCTTTTCACAATGAGAATCCCCCAACCTTGGTTGTAGGCATCTGGGAACCAAATCTCGGATGTCCAGAAACCAGAGGGCAGCCCGTTCAATGGGCTGAAGTTGGCCTGGAAAGTCTTGCCAAACCCAAACTTCCCTGTCGGGCTGGGGTCATTATTTTCATGGGGTTTTACACTACCCCCCCCCAACACTCCCCCCCCCACTGGGACAAGAAAATTGCACATGCCCAGTGTCGAAATAGCCCCCGAATATGGCTTATTTAGGCCTTATTTTCGGGGCCCAAGTGGTGAAAAAACAAATAGACCCTAAATAAGGGTTGTTTGGCAACAGCTGTGTTGCACAGTTTTTTTGAGCAAGCCGACCTGATGAAGTCTATTTTTCTGAATCTAGCGCAGCTGATTAGTGCCATGTCTGTGGTGGCCAGTGATGTCAGAACACAGTTTCTTCGAACCTCACAGGCTGTGATTGCCATTTTCTTGGCTTCTGATGGCTGCCAGGCAAGGTGGCAGGCAACAAAGGTTGCTCTATGGCGTGGAGCAAACCACCCGGAAGCTGCCAAGTGGACGCGGAGTTGAAAAATAAGGTCAAAATAAGCTGTAAATAAGTTCTAAAAAAGGATTTGGCAGACGCGGAGTTGAAAAATAAGGTCAAAATAAGCTCTAAATAAGCTCTAAAAAAGGATTTGGCAGACGCGGAGTTGAAAAATAAGGTCAAAATAAGCTCTAAATAAGCTCTAAATAAGGATTTGGCAGACGCGGAGTTGAAAAATAAGGTCAAACTAAGCTCTAAATAAGCTCTAAAAAAGGATTTGGCAGACGCGGAGTTGAAAAATAAGGTCAAAATAAGCTCTAAATAAGGATTTGGCAGACGCGGAGTTGAAGAAATAAGGTCAAACTAAGCTCTAAATAAGCTCTAAATAAGGATTTGGCAGACGCGGAGTTGACAAAATAAGGTCTAAATAAGCTCTAAATAAGGGATTTGGCTGTCCCCGTGAGGACGCGGAGTTGAAAAATAAGGTCAAGATAAGCTCTAAATTTCTAAATAAGGATTTGGCTGTCCCGTGAGCAAAAAACCAACCCCGGAAGCCACCAAATGGACTGGTCGAAATCGGATCGGTGCGTCGCAAACTATTCAGTTTGTCTGAGCTCTAAGATTATTTATCGGGTTTGGATTTGGGCTTGAATTGCAGGCCGACCAGTGAGGCGGACCCCAAACCTCAAATAAGCCTTATTTCTCGCAGCTTGCCTGCAAGACTGGATTGGTCCAAAATGCGAATCTCACAGCCTATTTCAGTGGGGGGGGGGGGAGTGTTGGGGGGGGTAGTGTAAAACCCCATGATATTTTGACTCTCTCCCGGTTTTCTTTCCAGTCACCCAATTTTTGGCGATGACTTTGGGTGACTTTGGCTTAAAACTCTGAGGCGAGGGTACAGCTTTGTGTGCTTTGTTTCCTGAAGGTCACCTTCAAAGAGATGGCCGACGAGCATCCGGATGCCGATGCCGGCGATGTGGTCTTTGTGCTCAAGCAGCAGGCGCCCACTGAGTCGCTGAGTCGCGCGGAGAGCGGAGCCCTTGGCGCAGGTGTTCTATGGGCTGAAAGGGTTCCCCATGCTTCCCTTTGTGGCTTGAAACATCAGGCCAACTTAAAGTGAGCTTCCTTGGGGGAAATGCAGGAAGCTCTGTCTTTTGCACGGCCTCTTGGGCCAACTTAAAGTGAGTTCCTTTGGCGTGAGATTTGGGGAAATGCAGGAAGCTTTCTCCAGCTCGCACGCTCGGCAAGCTGCAAGCTGCTTGGGCTTCCTCTTGGCTTCGAGTCGTAACGCTACGCTCCCACAAACCAGCAGCATGGACGGTGACGGAGCAGGGCCCCCTGATGATACTTCAGGTTTCCGTCCAACTTGGGGATTCCAGACATTTTTCGACTCCTCGGAGAAGAAAACAGAGACAGCGAAAACTTAGTCCTGCCAGAGCGGGGTTCTCCATAAATCCTGGCTCTTTTCTTTGGGCTTCATTCCCAACACGGCCCCAGATCCGAGTGTTTGTGCCTCCCTTTTTCCAGCAGATTCTCGGCTTTTTCCGTCATCATTTCTTGCAGATCAGCAAACCAGCAGGGGGGGTGCCCATGGCTCGTTGGGGTTCCACGTCTGGGAGTCAAACCCACGAAGTCCGGCGCCAAAATTCAGACGTCCGGATGTCGACGGCTCCGAGCTCTCCAGGAGCACGCGGACTTCAAGCGCAAGGGCGCTGACCTCTACATCGAGCGCAAGATCTCTCTGGTGGAGGCCAAGCTGGCGACCTGCTCAGGTTCGTTAGGAAGCCAATTCACACTTTTTTGGGGGGTGTTCCAAAGAATGGCATTCCTGAGTCCGTTCAAGTTACGGCAGCGAACCGTTCTCGAAGTTTCTTTCGGGGGCGGGAAGCTGTAAACCACACTTGGAGGGAACTTGAGGAGATTTGACCATTTCTCCTCCACCTTTCAACACCAAAAGATCTACCTTCAGGTAGTGTCGTCCGTGGCTTCAGTCTGATTTTCCACCCGCACGGTATGCTCCAGGGACACCTCCCAGAGAGAAACCGTTTCTGGACCATGGGAGGCCAGATGGACGGAAGTTCCATGTCGCATGGGGAAAGCGCCAGGTGTCGGATGCGGTAAATTCCAAATGGTTTCAACTCCATGCGGGTGCGAGAAGTGGAGGGAACGGACCTGGGGATTCCCTCAAAGGAATCCGTAGGGGATTGTTTATGGGGGCCATTCCCTCATGCTGATCACCCAGCAAGCCATGGTTTCCTTCGCCGTGGTGCGAGCGGATTTCGCGACGGTACATCGACTGAGACGCCCCCCGCTTCCCCCCCGAAGAGTCGAAGGCCTTGTGCGGCTTCACCATGGAGCTGACGCACCTAGATGGCCGCAAGCTGATGATCAAGACCCAGCCAGGAAGGGCGCCAGATCTCGGCTTCGGGCTTCGGGGGGGGGCACCCGGACGCCCTTTTGGAAGCAAGAGACGACAGGGCTTTTCATCCTTTTGGATGGACCTCGGACCAAAATCCCGTGAGCAAGAGAGTTTGTAGCTGCTTTCCAGGTGCCGGTGGTTTTTTCCAGACCAATGGGAGTCTCCCAGGGCACCTCGCGGTAGTTCTCTAACGGCAAGAGTTGCTTTTCCTTGCGCGCATGCTGCAGGCGACCGTCTTTCAACCCCCCCCCCCCGGAAAAGAAAGCAAAGAAAAACAAGGCAGAACGCTGCAATGTGATTTGTTGTACATGTCATCTATTGGAGACTGGCTACCCATCATGTAACCACGTAGACCTGCTGGCATTCCGACCTCATTGCGTGTTTGGGTTTTCTGCCCCAAACTCCAAACATACTCAGGAAAGCCAAACAAAAGAAGAACAAACAGAAAGATCACCAGTCCCCCGATGGGGGGCCTGGCGGAAGGAGCTCTCGGATCTGTTGTCTTCTGCTTTCTCGAGTTCTGTTTTTCGGCTCACACTGCCTCAAACACAATATGGTGGTGGCTCAAAATCAAACAGGAGAAGTTACGCTGGTTTTGGTCCATGTTTCCACTTACCAGGGTTCCATTTTGGTACCGGTTTTTTGAGATAATAACGGGTAGGCCTCTGAATTGGGAAGAGTATCCTCAAGCCCAGAGCCTTCCTGGAGCGCGCAAACAACTTCCACCCGAAACTCAGAGACGTGTCGAAACCCGGAGAGAGCAGCGCAGGGGAGATCGTGAAGCCCATGTCGCAGGGCTTCGATCCCTTGGCCAGCCAGGAATGAAATTCGGGTTTTGGGGGGCGGAATCCAAATCGGACCCAAAGTCCAAAGATTTGGTTCACCATTGAGTTGGTCTGATGATGTGCCACCAGTTGGAATGATCTGCCATTCAGTTGCTGAAAAGATTGCGTGAGGAGTCAGTTAATCAAACCACCTGTTGAGTGCACAACGCCCTCGGCGAATGTGGAAGCTTTGGCAGGACCGAAGTTCACACCTACGCCAGGTATAATCGAAGCTCACAGGGGTTCCTGTTCAGCCTTGTCCATCTCGAAGATGTTTCGATGGCGCATGTGGGTTGCAAAGAGGGATCACCTTTGAGTGCTTGTTTTCTTGGGCCTTGCCTTGGGGGAAATGAGGTACACGGCCTTCGGGGGGCCGAGCTCACGGATGCGGCCAACATATCCAGTCTTCCATGGTGAATTTGTGAGGGACATCGAAGACTCACTGAATGTTCTTACAAAACCCCGGGGCGCGGGGTTCTTATACTCTTGTCCCTTAGGGTAACAACAACTTGTCACCGTTGGATCTCCCAGAGAAGAGCTGAAGCATGAGAGTGTTGCCGGGGCCATGACGTCATGGCGGAACCAGCGGCTTCCGGGCTACCTTTCATACGGAGCAAAGACCTCACTTCGTTGTTGCATGAAGGGTCAAATTTCCCACGCTGTCATGTTCGCCCCATTCATGTGCCAGTGAAAATGTTCATGGGGACAGCCTCAGGATTGGTGGGCACACATTCCCATGTGAATGATTTCCCCAAATTCCTAACTAAGGTTCATACTGTACCTATTCCAAGCGGCCTCGTGGGTCAGGAGCAGAAGACGGAGTGGGAGATCATTGAAGACTCCGACTGCCCCAGCGTGGAGAACGTGGCGCAGGCCGGTTTTCGCAAGGGATGAGGGCGGGAGCGCGATTGCCGGATAAAGCCGAGGAGAAGCCCCCAATGAGACGTTATTCTGGTTCAACAGGGGAGCCACCCCCCTGCCCATAGTCTATGAATTCGAATTCGTTTTGGGGGGGGGGAAGGAGAATTTGGGTGTGCGTTTTGTTGAGATGACCCTCTTTTGGTTGGTTCAGGAACCCGAGAGTTCCACCGACCGAAGCCTCCTTTCTGTTGGCGTCCCCCGCCAAAAGGGGGATTACTCCTGGCAAAGGTGTGTCGGGAAGATGGGCGTTAGCCTTCAAAGCGTTTTCTCCGGTCAAGGTTTGAGAGGTTTCTCCTTGCACGAGTCGAATGCTTGATTCATTGATGCGGGGCTGTCCAAGCTCTGCCGTTTGTCAAGTCTTGTTTGGAACGGACGCCGTCGACATTGGATTCAACGCATCGTCAGGGTTGATCCCTTGGAGCTTCAGTTGGTTCCCTGCAGTTGCCTCAATTTCCGCGGACCTCAAGCATGTTTTCTCCCTCTGGTGTCCAATTCAGAACCCATCCCAAAAGGTGTGTCTAAAAAGAAAGGCGCATTCTCTGCATCAGCCATGATACTGGGTGAATGCCTGCAGTGATGGGCCCGAATTCGAGAAACCAGATATATCAACTGCTCCGTTCCGCGTTTTTTTTTTCCCCCTCCGTGGGGCCTTTTTTTTTTCTTCGTATTTCCGTTCCGTGGGTTGGATTTTGTTCTTCCCGTATTTCGCCTCCCCTGCTCATCGCTTTAGCGGCTCGCTTCTCACCTGGGCTTCGGTGAGGCCGACACCACAGACATCGATACCTTGAAGAAGGCCTGCGAGACTCAGCTCAAGCGCAGCCCGGCCACACACAACGCGGGCGCTGGTGTGTGTGTGTGTGTGTGTGGGTGGGTGGGTGGGTGGGTGGGTGGGTGGGTGGGTGGGTGGGTGGGTGGGTGGGTGGGTGGGTGGGTGGGTGGGTGGGGGGGTGGGTGGGTGGGTGGGTGGTGGGATGTGGATGTGATGTGGATGTGGATGTGGATGTGGATGTGGATGTGGGCGGGCGGGCGGGAAACGTACAGTTCGATTTGAGCTTGCAAAATACAGTTGAGGTGTTCTTGGGTGGCAGCTTCGCCAAAAGTCAAGATTTGCATCTCAGGATGCCCCGTGACCTTGTCTTCGTCTTTTCCACGTGCAACGGCTGTGTGGATTCTGTT